GTGGGGGGGGGGAGAAAAGATTGATTAGGGAGGCCAAGTGAGTTGGGATACTCCAGCTTCATGTGAGGTTTTATTTTGGGAGGGATATAAGCTCTTTGGTGGAAAAAAGATGGTCATGGTGTGAGAAATGTTCTGCGATGACAATTTTTTGGTTGGTATGGATGGATAGGAATGTAAGGATATTTGAGACAGCAGTGGATGAGGAGGTGGATCATTTGTGGGATAGAGTTCGTTTTGGGATTTCCTTTGGGCTCAGTGTCTTTAGAGTTTACAGATAGTTTGTTCTGGTTAGTTTTTTTATAATTGGGGTGCTGCTGTATTTTAATTGTCATTGTGACTGCTTGTTATGCAATCTTTTGATGTTTAGATCTGTTTGTAGCTTTACATGAGTGGTCTAGTTAGTTCAGTGGAGAACTTGTCCCTGTACTGTACTGTACTGTTCTTTTTCTAATACATAAAGTATGCTCTTTGTTCAAATAAAAAAATACAAAAGACTTTTCATGACATACAAAAGGGTGTGCACAATGCATTCCTTGTGTTGCTTTGAGATCATACAGAATTTCTTTGAGAATGAATCCAAAGGAATAATCACATAATCAGCAAAGAATGAAAGACCACGGATGCATATCTGAGTTGGATAGAGTGAGCAGTCCCTTGTGTCAAGCTTTAGAAACACATTTTTCTAGTCCACATGCACGATTATAATGTGTTCATTTTCACATACAACACCTCAAACTAGAGGTCTCTGGTAATATATGGGTTTCCAAATCAGCTGCTTATAATAGATGAAATGTATCTATGTTACACAAAAGGGTGGAAAAGTTTCTGGTGTCTATTTGCAGGAAATTCTTTCTGAGAGTAAAAATGTAGTTTATCTTACGTTTATATACATTCTGAGTTACTTGACATCATTGGCAGAGTATATGCAAAGTGGCAGAGCAACTGAGAAGACTGATGTTTATAGTTTTGGGGTCCTGGTGCTTGAAGTGTTGAGTGGAAAACGACCCACAGATGCATCATTCATTGAGAAGGGCCTCAACATTGTTGGCTGGGTATGTCTCTTTTCTACACGTGGTTTCTGTAGAAAGTGATCTTTTTCTTGTGGTTATATTGCTTTTTGATAAGAAGCTAGATCTAGTGGTGACATTGAGTGCAAATTGTGTACTCATTTGGCTGCATATCCACATCAACTATTGGAAAGCAATTACTCCTCTTGTTCAATATGATAGGTGAAAGAAAGAAAATGAAAATTCTGCGGGTTTTGATTGATTGTTGCAGTCAAGTAGGTCTTATGTGAAAGTTTTGGAGCTGCTACCTCCTTAATGGTCCTCCTAATATGATTTTGTGAATTCCACTCCAAGTCAACTCTTCTAATCTATTTATAACGCCCTTTGCAGTTAAATTTTCTGGTCACAGAGAATAGGCAAAGAGACATTGTTGATCCACAATGCGAGGGGGTGCAAGCCGAAAGCCTTGATGCCTTGCTCTCCGTCGCCATTCAATGTGTTTCTTCAACTTCCGAAGATCGACCCTCCATGCATAGGGTGGTCCAGGTGCTTGAATCTGAGGTCATGACACCATGCCCAAGTGACTTCTACGATTCCAGCTCTGATTAAAAAGGCTTTATGCAGGCAGGGCAAGTCAGAATTTGCATCTACATCGGTCTCATCTCATGTCAGGCATGTAATGCAAACAGTGAAAGTGACTCAGAATCTGCAAAGGTACATTATCCATTCGATTCGTTCATTCTTTCTGCAGATTAGTGGCATTTAGAAGAAGGCCTGCACCATCTATTGTCTACATGGCCAAGCATCTTATTCATGACCAATGAGATTCTGAGTGTAATTTGCTCGTCTTGCTCTCATTTTGCTCGGGTGCGTTCAAACTCTTCTCTGTATGTGGATGGAAAATAATTCCACCTGTTGGAGTCATTTATTTAGCCTTTCTTTTTCTTTCATTTTCTTGTAATTCCTCTTGCCTTTTGTTCCCCAAAATTAAGTGTATATGATATTTATATAAATAGAAGGTGGTCGCTCCGAAAATGATTCTTGTTTATGCCATTTTTGTAAAATATGATTTCATGACATTCAGTCAAGTATTGTAGTGCCTATGGCCTCTGTTTGTTATGTAATATTATGTTTCCCTTCTGTACAAATTCAATTCTTAAGTCTGCTTTAATTCTGGTTTTACTTTTTGACAGAATATGTAAAATGTAAAAGGAATTGTGGAGTCAGTTTCTTTTACGTATTATGGTTCCATAATTTTATTATTTAGTCCGCCTTTTAGCAAATACGATTTTTCAATGGCTATTCGTTTTGCATATGTTATTAGCCCCTTAATTAGCGCATCAGCAGAGGGGAGATGGGCTGACCATGTCGATAATACAAACCAATACTTGTTGGGCTTTTTATTTTTTTTAATATTTTTTTATCAGGAACTTGTAGCGAGTGGTTTACAGAAACAAATAAGCAATGCTAGGTTGTTGGTTAGCAGATGTGCATTAGGACAGTTGGTCGAGGAAGTGTGCCCATGGCGAACATGGGGAATTAGGGATCACCGAGTGTAGCTTAGGTTGAAACAGTTCAAGGTTTGTCTAATTAGGCAGTAATAGATACAACATGAACGTAAGACCAAAACATAAGCCTACCTAATTGTACCAAATTTAGAGTTCCCCTCTTAGATTAATTTCATTTGAAGTAGTTTAAACTATAGCTTCTATAAAATCATCATCGGACCCTTTTTAAGGGATCAAAAAGTTTTTTTTCGGGGGGGCGGGGGTCAAAACAATTCTCAATATCTCAATTTTAATCGTTCTTTGAAAAGCCAACATGCCACTTCAAACTGAGACCAAAATAACCGCATAATTGGACGCAAGGCATTCATTACCGGCTAGTGTTTATCATTTCATTTATAATGGGCTAAAAACTCTCTTTGCATCTCTGATTATAGAGCCTACTCTTGTTTTGACATTGTGTTTTTTTCTTTTTGGGTAGAAAATATACACCCTTTACTTTCTGTTTGGATGAAGGAATTGACAATTACATAGAATTCTAAAATGAAGGAATTTAGATTTTCATCAATTTAAGATTTTAGTGTTTGGATTTATGTATGTCAAACTTTTAAATGACATAATTTTGTAAATGGCACCATGGAAATTGTGAAACGACTCCTATTTTGATTGAAATTAAACTCGGGAATTTAATGCCCTAATTTACACAATTTTTTTCTGTATAAATTCTGTGCTTAAGTTGCCAAACAAGAGAATTGTCAATTTCTCCTTTTCAATTCTTGACTTTTAGTTGAATTCCAAGTTATTTTCCCTCATCCAAACAGGGCGAAAGTTCACTTGTATTAGTTCATTTTTCCCCTCCCCTATTTCATAATATATATTAAAACCGAAACAAACAAAATAACACAACCTGAGAACATGTTTGAATGGCCATAATAAAATATGTATATATATATATATATATATATATTATGTTTTTAAGAAAGATCCTTGATACATCCGCACATTACATTACATCACTATTACACTAAAAATATCATTTGCTTTTTCTGCACAGCACCATGCTAGGCTAGCTGAAAGAGCCAAGTACCTCATCCAAATAAGACTATTATTAGACATTAAAATTATTGGTATATACAGTTTATACCAAGTTTATATAGTAGGTTCGTATCCGAAAAAATATTTATATAGGAGCTGTGGGAATGAAATTATAATTACGTTAATTTGGCCGAAGGGGCTTTCTCCTGCCTCTCTATATATGCAGATGGAAACCATCCGGCCTTGCCATTACATTCTCCTTCGGACCATCCATTAGGGCCCACCTATAACATCCATAATGAAAATAAGTAAAAAATAAAAAACACTACTAGAAAATAATGGAGAAGAAAGGATTATAATTTCTTTCATTTTAAATGTGTAAAATAGAAAAACAAAAAAACAAAAAAAACAAAACAAAAATGTTTTATATGACGCCTCCGCTACACCATATTCCTTGCTTAGGTGAGACATAAAACAAAAAGGTGGAGTATGGAAGATGTCACACCATATTCCTTGCTACAAGCCACTCCGACTATTAGTTATCGTTCCTCCTATTTCATATCCAAATAATGATACGAAAATGATCCTACCTAATTTTCCATTTAGTTCTTTCTGTTCCACACACTACTAATCCCAGCAATTTTCAGAGTGGGCTATACATACACACACACACACACATATATATATATATATATATATATATATATATATTATGTTTTAAAGAAAGATCCTTGATACATCCGCACATTACATTACATCACTATTACACTAAAAATATCATTTGCTTTTTCTGCACAGCACCATGCTAGGCTAGCTGAAAGAGCCAAGTACCTCATCCAAATAAGACTATTATTAGACATTAAAATTATTGGTATATACAGTTTATACCAAGTTTATATAGTAGGTTCGTATCCGAAAAAATATTTATATAGGAGCTGTGGGAATGAAATTATAATTACGTTAATTTGGCCGAAGGGGCTTTCTCCTGCCTCTCTATATATGCAGATGGAAACCATCCGGCCTTGCCATTACATTCTCCTTCGGACCATCCATTAGGGCCCACCTATAACATCCATAATGAAAATAAGTAAAAAATAAAAAACACTACTAGAAAATAATGGAGAAGAAAGGATTATAATTTCTTTCATTTTAAATGTGTAAAATAGAAAAACAAAAAAACATTCTTTATAAGAGTAGTGATCTTTTATTATAATTAACACAATTGGGTTTTTCTGAAGTGGGCTTTGGACCTGTTGGCCTTATTCAAATTAAATATATATTTTTATATATTTAAGTTTTTGAATTTCAGATAATTTCAATTATTTTGAAATTCAAACTTCAGACATATCTGTTTCAATAGCCAAACGTACGGAGCAAATAACCAACTTTTGAAACCCAATACTTCTCACACAACGCTGAAATGCATTGAGAGTACCCATACTGTAGTTCGCCAGATACCAAAATTCAAGTGCTAGAATTTTGGTTTTGATAGTTGTATCCTGGTGGACAGTTGTCTGCAGAACCACAAGCACAGGAGTGGGGGCGAAATACTATCTAAAGGACATAGCAAATCTGCTAGCCTCTATCATCTCTGCAAGTTAGTATTTTTGGTTAATACAAACTCTTGTATCTTTATTTTTCTGTTGTTATATATTGATTCATTTAAAAGCCTTATATACATACATACATATATATATATACAGAAATTCTCTTATGCGGACATCCGGACGTTATTATCGTGCGGACGCTGTGTATTTTGTACTACCCCTTTCTGTTTTCCTGCATGTTTACAATAGGATCCGCACGATAATAATGTGCGGACATCCGGATAAGAGAATAACTGTATATATATTGTGTCCTGTATGTGGTGGGTGACTGAGTTTTTATGAAGTAGACCAATTTTACTTTTTACTAGAATGTGGTGAAATAATTTCCATCGAGTGAGATGGACTTCATAACAATTAGCACCAAATTTTGTATGTCCATGAGGGTGGTTCAGCCCTTGGGCAGAACAGCAGTGCAAACTTTTTTTTCATAACAAAAAAAAATAAAAAATAAAAAAAAATAAAAAAAGAGAGAGTCCACATTTATGCTGATAGCAATGCATAAGCAATAACTAAATTAAGGGAGGTTGTGGTACCTGACGAACCACAACATAATCATCAATTGCTAGATTCAACTCTCCATCTGCTTGAGCATCAAACGGGTGTATAGCCTACAAAATGAAGTAAGGAAATTACGAGGGGTGAAAACTCAGAATTACAAGAGAAAAACAACGTAGATCAACCAACAAACTTATATTTTCTGAGAAATCAGATCATTCAGTAAGGAAATATTTGAAAACAAAATTTGGGAAGATAAGAGAAAGATCATTGTATTGCCATTAACAATAAGCCTGAAAGATAAGCAAATTAAACAATCAGACCAAATGCCATTGACTAAAATGACTAATAATCAGTAACTCCAGCTTGTCGCAAATAAAATGAATACCATTTTACGATCTTGAAGAAAAACTTGTATGACAAGATTCAAACATAAATCTGCTCTGAAGATTTGCCTTGAATTAAGCTAATCAGAATTTGCCAAAAACAAGATTTAGCAAATTAGACAACAAGGCTCAACTTAAGCTAATAAAACAATCCGACATTAATTTAAGCTAATTGGCTTAATTTAGGCTAATGCCCAACAATCACTCTAAATGAATAGTTATCAGCCTATACTTCTAGGCAACAAAAATTCAGAAACTGTGATAAGAAATGACAAGCACATTAGCAGTTTATTTTGGATGTGGGGAATCAAATTTCATGGATTTTAAAGGCCTTACTCTTGCAATGAAGAAAGTGTCATCCTGGTAAAGTTGTCCATGATCAACAGATCTATTTGAATTAGTATCAGGATCCATTTTCTCAGATTGTGATGAGAATTCTCTTGGTAGTTTCTCCAGAATCATCTAACCATTTAAAAGAATGCAGGAGTCATAAATTTTCATGTACTGAAAAGAGATAAGAAAACAGCACATAATGACAAAAAGGTGCAGAGCCAAGCCACATAATGCATACCTCAGAATGTAGCTTGTCTAAAATAGCAAGAGCATGTTGATGATAAGATCTCTCAGCATCGACCTGCAGAGTATAGTTACTAGGTTCAAATACACAAGTGTAATATCAGGAGCAAAATACAATAAGTTACCAGTATCCAGCCAAATTTAGTATAAAGAACAATTACAGTTACGACAAATCCACCAAGAACTGGGGGCACCATTGCATTACAGTTACAAATTTAGATACATCTAGCAAGAATTTCTGACAGGAGAGCTTTGCACAAGTTTGAGAAATAACTTTCTCCAAATATCAGCATTAAAACACTTTTCGAGTCAGAAACTTTGCTAGTGGACAGATGAATTATTTTCCCTTGGTGTGATAAGGCCTTTTTCCTCATTTAATCTACTTGCCCTCTCCAGCTAAAGTGAAGTATCAAGAGTAAAGAAGATATTTATTTCATCTATTGCTCTGACAATGTGCAATTGTGGCCCCAAAAAAGACTGATGGTGAGCAGCAATGGTATCCATGAATGTGCAAGTGCAAGTGATGGTGGCACGCAAAAACCTTATCAATTCTACCTTTAACCTTCTCCTTTCCCTCTTATAAGCCATAGGTGCTGTCAAGAGATAGCTTTCTTGTGCTCTCTCACCTTCCTTTTTTACCTCTCCATTCTCAAGTGCAAATTAATTTAAATATATAAGGAAAAACCAGAAATCATAAGTTCTTCTGTGTATTTTTCTTAGCTTCTTTGGGGCCTATTTGGAGTGCTACGGAATTAATTCTGCTTAGAAGGCTTTTGTTTTAAGCACTTATCAGAAGTACATCGAGATTCCAAGTGCTCCTAGAAACGCACTTGGAAATGTTTCTTGAGGAAGCTCTTGATAGGTTTCTCCTGAAAGCACTAAAAAATGCTTTAACAACCCAGAAAACACTTTAAAATATTTCAGCTAAACAATACGAAAGGCATTTATTGTTATCTGAAAGCGTTTTTTAACACTTCTAGAGGTATTGCTGAACAGGGCATCACTAGATAGTTGAGCCACCAGTTCCGTTGTGCTCAACACAAAGGAATCATACAATTCCAGCATAACAGTTATTCAGAATTCTACATATGAATTGATGCTATTATAGAGACTACATGTAACATTTCCTTACGTTCAGCACTACAAGGTGGTCGAAACTTCTGTGGGGTTGAAACAGCAAAAGTTGTTTAAACTAGGAAACGTTTAAAAGGAAAGGAGAAAGAAAACCACTAATATGCGAAGAAGACTTTCCCTATTTACTCAAGTGCGTCAAAATATAAACCAAAATAGTATATATTAAAACAGGTGCATAATCTGAGATAAGACCTTGTGAATTTGAACTTGTTTAATGACAGCCAAAACTCGTTTAGCAACTCAATCACGCAATTCCTAAGATATCAAAGGAACTACAATGACATGAAATATTTTAGACTGGTACTGTTGATTTAACTCTCTGAATGGAGTTCTGGCACAGGGAAAATCTGGAAATTAGACTTCTTTAGTGAACTTTTTATTATGAAGGCTTTAGGATTTCATTATTATTACTGTTTATTTATTCCACCGGGGTTATTATTAGATTGCCTATGTAATTGCAACTTAGTTCTTGCCAAAAAGAACTTATGTTCCAAGCTGTTATGCCAAAAAGAAACACTCATATATACCAACTGAAAGGGGCTGCAACAACAGATATACCAACAATACCATTTGTTTAAAAGACCGTATGGTTAAAGAACAATAGCACCATTTTAGGCCACCATCAAGAAAGGAAAAAGCATCCCACTCAAATGCATCACCAATCCTCTTCTTCTTGTGAGGTCCTATGATACACGAAAAGAAGGAATAGATGTCATAATGTTTGACAAAATTAGGTGATCAAAACATGGAATAGGCAACAAAAAGTTTGGATAGAGAAGAAAAGGCAAGCAATGAGACATAGTTGGGACGAATAATTGGCCTAATGATCTTATGAAAACTACAGTCAGGAAAAAATTTGAAGCGGAAGTAGAACGACTAATTAAATGTGGATTCACTCATAAAATATACTAAGAGCAAAAAAGCAATCATGTAGGATTACTATCAACGGGCGAAACTGGAAACATGACCTCCAAAAAGATTGGGGGAACACTTCTAACCAGCTACTACGTCTTTCAAGATGATGAGAAACTGATAATGAGTCCCTCACAAGGATAACTAAGAAGACGGAGCATCCATAATTTACGACAGCATGCTCAACCTTTAAGAATTGTTAAAAATAAATGGCCATCCAAAAATCTGCAAAACATTGCCATCCCCATATAGTCCTGACCCTCCAAAAGCTTCTCCTTAATTAAAGCCAGTGCACTTCCAAAGCACCAGTATACCCTCCCATGTTTTAGATGAACCAATTCTAACCAAAGAAGGGTACAAATTTCCAACAGATGATATAGAAGGGCAGAAGTCACAGAGACGAATAAACAGGCTAAAAGAACTCATCACTCCCTTCCAAAGTCTAACCTTTGCAAAAAGATAGATAGCAGTTTATTTTGGATGTGGGGAATCAAATTTCATGGATTTTAAAGGCCTTACTCTTGCAATGAAGAAAGTGTCATCCTGGTAAAGTTGTCCATGATCAACAGATCTATTTGAATTAGTATCAGGATCCATTTTCTCAGATTGTGATGAGAATTCTCTTGGTAGTTTCTCCAGAATCATCTAACCATTTAAAAGAATGCAGGAGTCATAAATTTTCATGTACTGAAAAGAGATAAGAAAACAGCACATAATGACAAAAAGGTGCAGAGCCAAGCCACATAATGCATACCTCAGAATGTAGCTTGTCTAAAATAGCAAGAGCATGTTGATGATAAGATCTCTCAGCATCGACCTGCAGAGTATAGTTACTAGGTTCAAATACACAAGTGTAATATCAGGAGCAAAATACAATAAGTTACCAGTATCCAGCCAAATTTAGTATAAAGAACAATTACAGTTACGACAAATCCACCAAGAACTGGGGGCACCATTGCATTACAGTTACAAATTTAGATACATCTAGCAAGAATTTCTGACAGGAGAGCTTTGCACAAGTTTGAGAAATAACTTTCTCCAAATATCAGCATTAAAACACTTTTCGAGTCAGAAACTTTGCTAGTGGACAGATGAATTATTTTCCCTTGGTGTGATAAGGCCTTTTTCCTCATTTAATCTACTTGCCCTCTCCAGCTAAAGTGAAGTATCAAGAGTAAAGAAGATATTTATTTCATCTATTGCTCTGACAATGTGCAATTGTGGCCCCAAAAAAGACTGATGGTGAGCAGCAATGGTATCCATGAATGTGCAAGTGCAAGTGATGGTGGCACGCAAAAACCTTATCAATTCTACCTTTAACCTTCTCCTTTCCCTCTTATAAGCCATAGGTGCTGTCAAGAGATAGCTTTCTTGTGCTCTCTCACCTTCCTTTTTTACCTCTCCATTCTCAAGTGCAAATTAATTTAAATATATAAGGAAAAACCAGAAATCATAAGTTCTTCTGTGTATTTTTCTTAGCTTCTTTGGGGCCTATTTGGAGTGCTACGGAATTAATTCTGCTTAGAAGGCTTTTGTTTTAAGCACTTATCAGAAGTACATCGAGATTCCAAGTGCTCCTAGAAACGCACTTGGAAATGTTTCTTGAGGAAGCTCTTGATAGGTGCTTCTCCTGAAAGCACTAAAAAATGCTTTAACAACCCAGAA